GATGCCTGGAGATCATTGTTACGAATTGGCTATCTCAGATTTCTGATGTCACTATCACAGTGAAATATGTGGGCTTGCTCTCAAACATGGACTTTTAAACATGGACATGGACTTTTAAACATGGACTCGCAGATGACGTATTCCGAGTGCAGCACCACTAATTTGCATATCGGAGTTTTACTCAGCTACTCTTACTTGGCAACATATTCAAATTTTACACGGTTTGGCTTATTTTTTAGGGAGTTATCGCTATTTTTGTGATTTTCCCTTAATTTATGATAACTAATGTATATGGGTTTGGTTAGCGAGCGTAAACCTAAACAGCAGTATAATATCGTTCAGCTTGATTTCCGAAATAGAATCAACCCATGTGAAAAAACTCGGCATAGAAGCAGTGGCAATTGATGCAATTACACATGACCACTTAGAATTTCTTTCAAAGTGGTATAGAAATATGGCTCTAAGTAAGGGAATAGAATTGGCCGACATTGGAAATACGAAGGAGATACACATGTTGATTGGCTCAGATTACATTTGAGAAATTTTATATGAAAGAAACGTAAGATTAGGGAAATGATTAGTTATTACGGACAGTTTGTTTGGGTTTGTAATCCAAGGTAAGGAAATGAGATCGGATAATCATGGCAATTATGAGTATGATAAGACTTGTGTAAACCATATCTTTGTGAAGGAACAAACAGATTTTGAAAGAGTTTGGAATTTATGGGATTTGGAGGCTATAGGAATAAATCAGGAGAAGGAAATTTCGCGATCAAATGCCATAGACCTGTTTGAAAGCAATACCACGTTTAAAAATGGGAGATATAAAACTAAATTTTTATGGAAGGAGGGTTGTAACACATTCAATAGTAATTATGCAGTTGCAGAAAGACGTTTGATAAGCTTAAATAATAAATTTAGGCATCTGCATTTTTGTTATAAAGAAATAATTAATGAGCAGTTAAGAGATGAGCAAGTTGCATTTCATGAAGATTGTAATAGAAAAATTGGTTATTTTATGCCTCATCATGCTGTAGCACGTGAATCAAAGGAAAGATAATTTTTAGAGATTAGCATAGTAGAGGAGGATCGAGAGTTTTTGCAGTTTTTATGGAGAAATAAAGAGGAGGAAACAGAATTTGATTTCAATGGTCGTGATATCAGAACTTTACGAATGACACGTGCTCCTTTTGGTGTGAAATGCAGTCCTTTTATTTTGACAGCAACTATACGACTTTATTTAAAGAAATATGAAAATTCACACAATGAAGCATGTTCTATTTTGAAAGAACTTAATGTTCATGACTTAATAAGTGGGCCATCAACCGTTGAAGAAGCAGTATCTCTTGCAAGAGATTCTAAATTTATATTGAGTGAAGCAAACATGAATTTATGGCAATGGTCTTCGAATTCAGCTATCCTTAATAAAAGATGGAAGGAAACCCAAATGGAATGTCGGACGCCATCGAATCAAACAGATATACTGTTAAAGGTATTAGGATTAATTTGGGACAATGATTAAGGACACCTTGAAGATAGATCTGAATCAATTTACAAAATTTAAATATGTGACACCAACAAAATGTACAGTTCTAAGCGTATGTGGCATGTTATTTGATCCATTAGGAGTGTTTAATTACACCATTCAGTGTTAGAATTAAATTGATAGTGCAGACTCTTTGGAAAAAGGCTTAAAATGGGATGAAAATATTCCAGCAGAATTGGAATCTGTGTCCTAGGATGGTGGAATGAAGTAACCGAGGTTGAGAGGCTTGTCATACCTTGACCATATTTTGACGAGCTGGAGATTCAGCAACTGGAAGTACATATATTTTCTGATGCAAGCCCAAAAGCATATGGTGCGATCGCATATTTCAAGATTAGATACCATGACAAATGTGCGACAAGTTTTATAATTTCAAAATGTCATCTAGCTCCACTAAAGAAAATGACTTTGCCGCGATTAGAACTTATAGGAAACTTGATTTCCGCACAATTGTCTGATTATATATGATTCATGTTTTCTTCTTTGAAAGAAAGTGATATTTTTATGTGAACAGACTCCACAATATGTCTACATTGGATTAGATGTGTTGCAAATGATTGGAAGTAATTTCTCCGCAATAGAGTGTTGGAAATCAAAGAAAAGACAAATCCATCAAATTGGAATTTTTGTAACGGAAAGCTGAATCCTACAGATAAATTTACTAGGGAAGTAAGTGCACAATCTTTAATTAATGATAAACATGGTGGAGAGGCTCCTTGTGGCTAATAATAGAAGTTGATGTTCTAAACAGTGAAGAAATACCGAATGCTGACACATTTGAAGCAGAAAAGGAGAGAAAAAAGAATTGTTTTGCTTTACCAACATACCCTGAATGTACCGATAGCTTGTTAAAATTACACAGATACAGTGACTTATCTAAGGTTCTTCGAATCACTGTATGCATCCTACGGTTTATTAATAATTATAAGAAGAATTCTGAAAAGTGTAAAGGAGCACTAACTGTGAAGAACTCTCAAGTGCTGAACGCTATTGGATTCGTTTTTATACAGCATAGTGAGTTTGAAAAGGATCTTATTAAATTGACCCGAAAGGAATTATTTAATTCCGATTCCAAATTATATGGTCTAAACCTGATCCTGATGGCAGAAGGACTCATATGTCTTGGTGGTAGATTACAACATTCTAATTTTCAGTTTCAAGAAAAGCATCTATGGATTATACCACAAAATCTAGATTCACTGAATTGCTAATCGAAAGAGAACATGACATGCTGGTGTTTCAGATACACTCAAACTCGAGAAAATTATTGGATTATCCGAGGCAGACAAGCTGTAAAATCACGCTTGAATAACTGTTTCATTTGCAGGAAATTTAAGGCTAAAAAGGGCACTCAAGTGATTGTCTCATTACCAGCGGATAGAATTCATGAAGCGAATCCCTTTGAAATCACAGCTGTTGTTTTGCTGGACCTTTGTTTACAGAAAATGGAGAGAAGGTTTACATTTGTTTGTTTACTTGTGCAGTCATACGTGCAGTTCATCTTGAAATTGTTTTTAGCCTAAGGACCGAACATTTCCTTCTAGCATTTCGTCACTTTGTGACAAGAAGAGGTGTTTGCCGAACTATAAACTCTGACAATGCCAAAACTTTTAAAGGCGCAGATATAGAACTGAAGAAGTTATATGCAAATATTGTTGATTCATCTGTACAAAAGGAATAAGACAGCATTTTATTGTCAAAAGAGCAGCTTGATGGGGTGGATAGTAGGAGACAACGGTGAAAATGACAAAAGGTGTTTTGAGAAAAGTGCTAGGAAAGGCTTTAGTTTCCTTTGAAGAATTACAAACCATTTTGACAGAAATAGAATCTTTTCTAAATTCTAGACAACTTACTTACGTTTAGAATGATCCATCAGAGCCATTCCCTCACAGTCCTGCTAATTTCCTAACTGGAAAGCGGTTAACATCCTTACCGCACCAGGCTGGTCATGTTAAAGAACATATTGCAAGTAACAAAAGGATTTGAATTAAAAGACATTTGTATCGGAAAAATTTTTTAAATGATTTTTGGAGAGGCTGGAAAAGAGAGTATCTTCTCCAATTAAAAGGTGCAAATTGTTTCAAACCTGTTAATGTAACCACAATTAATATAAATGATGTAGTTTTGATAGGGGATGACAAACTATTGCTGTGGAAGCTGGGAAAGGTGATGGAGTTGCATAGAGGCTGTGATAATAAGGTAAGAAGTATCACAGTAAAAACTTCATCAGGTGTATAAAAAAGGCCTATCCAAATGCTATATCATTTGGAACTTGGAAGGAGATAAGAATGATTGGTTTTCAGAATTTCAAGTATCTATTTAGTATTTCTTTAGTAGCTGAAATTTGTTAGTTATTGTTTGATGATAATTGTTTTCTTTTCTATTTGCATTTAGCTTGTGGTAGTTAGTAAGATAAAATGTATAGTAGTAGCTAGTATGATGATAATGTCCTTTACATACAAAGTATTTATGCTATGTTGTATGCTACAAGTTTTGTAAAAGTATAAGATGTACTATTTTATTGTAAGATTTTGAATTTATGATAAATGCCTTCGTCTCAGGCTGGAGGATGTTCCAACTAAAAAAATTCCCTAAAGGAATAAACTGATGTTGGCTTTTCTCGCGGCAGGGGGGGGGATACAATTAGAACAAACGAAACAATGATGTGGTAAGATGTATAGATCTGGCACTGTGCCACGTATGATATTTCATATTTGTTTCAATCATGTTTGTTATTTTTTTCAATAAATAATCAAAAGACAACTACTGTGAATTAAATGACTCAACACTTCAAAACGAAGACATCACAACATGGAAAAGGAAATGAAGGTGGACGTGTCCAGTTTATCTCCACTATTTGAGAAACTGTGGAGTGATTTGCAGGCTCTCTATTGCACTCATTATTAAAAAAATGTTAATAAAATTTTTAAAATGTTAAAAAATGAAGATATGAGTTTTATTTTTTTAAACCTCGCATATGATTAGTCATACTTAGGGTAAGGCAACATGGAAAACTTTTAACTGAAAAAGGTCAGAAAAGTTTGGGAACCATAGTAATATACTATTAAACATTTTGCTATTCCATCTCTGTTTCTACCAATAAACCATATTACACTTTTAGGCAACTTAAAAGTCTGAACCCTTTCAGAATTTTATTGTATTATTATTTGCAGGGGGGGGATATGGCTAAAAAATTCAGGGCTGAACAGGTTAAGAAGGCAAAATGTTTGATGCAGTTAAAACTACTTATTTGTACTTGTTCATCTTATATGAAGAAATCAATTCAAAAGACTACGTTATGAAATGTTCAAAATTTGAAAATGTACTCACTGGGAGGGTAATCTAATTAGTTTAACACTTTTTTCCCACATAATTTGTCTTGTAAAAGAGGAAATGGACATGCAGCATTACTTTTGACTATTTGTGTTCTAAAAAAAATTAAAAAGAAATCAACTTTTTTACAGTCAAATATTTTATTTAAATATAAGTGAAGACAAATGCATTTTATTTGAATACTTGTACAAATTAAAAAATGTAAAGATAAATGCTTAATAAGCCTTTTATTCACTTGAAATTCTAAACAAAAATAACAATCCATAAATAAGTACCCTCCCACTTATAAAAGCTGAGTCAAAATGAAAATTCATACATTTCTGATAACTATGGAAATATAAAGGTAATGTAATGTAGTGGTGAAATTCAGGTAGTGCTAAAGTTAGTTAGGTGAACCTGTTAAAATTTGATTTATATTTCTTTAGGAAATTTATGACTTTTTAGTTACTAATATTATTGCAGATACATGAAATTTTTGTTGAATTCCACCATTAAAATTAATTCTAGAGATTAAAATGCATAAAAAAGTTCTGAACACAAAAAAACAGATAAATATCATTAACATGAGCAAAAACATTATAAATGTCAAATAACAAGCACATTTCCAAATTATCATAATTAAATAGAAAAAAAATTAATGTTTTAACAAAATAAAAATCTGGTTTTGCAAATTAATTAAACTTGCAAATTTCCTGTTTATTAACCTTTTTTAACATATTAGAAGAAAAAACCTGCAACTTAGAACCTAAGGCTGAATTTCAAGTTAGAAATGAAAATTCAAAGGGGAATAAAGTTGATTTCCCTTAAACTTTCTTACATATTATAATTTTATACAAAATATCGGACAAAGAGCACATAAGAATTATTTTTTAAATAATCATCTACTTTACAGTAGTTTGTTTTGAGCTTCAGAAAGTTTTGGTTAGAGCCTCACCATTATTACTAGAAAGAAAACAGTTTATTTAGAACATGCTATTCCAATACAATGGAAGTGTTCTTTCTGCTTTTAGTTTTGGCAGCTTGCTAGTTTGGATAATGCCTGCATTAATTTTATACAAGATACTTTCATTATTAAAAAAATGTCAAACGTTTATTAGTGAATGATAGAAGAACTGAATTCCAATTACAATATAATTCAACTGAAACAGCATAAGATTTTATCTTCAGTTCTGTGGCTTTTGGTAAATTATTTATTTGGTAACAGTTCTAAGATCACTAATCAATAGAAAAAGTACAAAGGAAACCAGTAATGTCCAAATATGGCCAACTGAAGTACACTTTTAATGTAGAGTTGCATAATGTTACTATTTTAACTCAGGCTTACCCATTAACTGCACACTTCACTGTTCAAGAGCTGTGTGGATTCTAGACTCTGGGTTTTTAAATATATTACCTATTTACATCACTATAAATTCTGCATTGAAACAAATAGATAAAAATTCAAAAACAAAATACATGACATGTTTATAAAGTAATATCGTGGTATAAGAAAGCAGAACAAAAAAATAATAAATATCACACACACAAAATGTAAAAACACAATTAAATGACTACAGTAAAAGTCCAAACCACATAAATTCATATCTGAATTCTTCACTTTTTAACTTGAAGGGAACTTGTACATAAAAATGCCATACTGTAAAATAACTTGTGTGTTAGCAGACACTTTCAAGGAACAATCTGTTAAGCTAATTCTGCTTCAGGAGTTATAGAAGGCACATCCTTTTCTGAAGTACTGGAACCTAGGAAAATTTAAAGCACAAGATCAATTTTTTACTACATTTTTTACTACAGTACAAAGTCTGAGATCTGGATTTCCAATATCTGGAATGAACTAAAATCTGGACCTTAAAGGAAAAAAAAATTTTTTAGGAAAAAAAATTTTTTTATGCTTTATGGATGCACATTTGATTTTTCCTCGCAAGAAAACATGTGGAGAATCATGATTCTTAATTTCACTTTGGCCCTAAATAAAATACCTTGTTATTGAAGAAAGAATCATTTTAGCAAAAATTTGTGTGATCAATAATTTATCTCTATAGCTGCGCATCATCTAGGCATACATCTCAAACTGAAACATTCTACATAGAAACACCATTGACTTTACAACTACTAATACTCTATATCTCTGACGCCCACCCGGCAAATCATTATTTATTATATTTTGCTTTCATCACCGCATGTTTATCAACACGACTACTTAAATAATGACTCATGCAACGATGCTTAAAAATTTTTTTTTTATATTAGTATTTGAAGAACAAAGAGTATGGAAACCTTTTATATTTACACTATGCTTGGTGTTGATTACAGATTTAAGTTAAATGCCTTACACGTTGACAAAGAAAAATTAAACAAAAATGTCTTTCAGTATGCTAAAAAAGAGATTTTGTTAATGATACTCATAGGCTAAAAGATTAAATTAGTGCTATTTGAATTAAGAAAAATGGATTTTTTTTTTTACATAAACCCAGAAACAGTGCCAGAGCTTGGCCACACCAAGAAGCAAAATTTAGGGATGACAAAATTTTTGGAATTTAGAGAAGCACCGAGCAACAAATTAAGGGAGGATAAAATTTTTAGAATTTAGGGAAAGCATTGGGATCCAAAATTAAAAGCCAGCAGAAATCTATAACTTAGGGAGGTGCTTGGTAGAAGAATTTAGGAGCCGCAGACACTACATCTAATATCGGCTCTCAGTAAGCTTAAGTATGTGTGGAAATTTATTTATTAAGGATTCATATAAGCCTTAAGTATATGCAGGAATTAGATGCAAGTATATTAAATAACTGAATTAATACAATTCTAGCTTAAATGTCTCAATGCACGATAGAAGCAAGACAAAATTTAAGGAAACATTTTGTCTTTCATCGCCAATCTCATTCTACATAGCCAATAATGCATAGCAGACGCTGCTAAGCTAGGCTAAAATTATACTTTACTGATTCCAAAGAATTTCAGTTAATATAGCAGATTGTGCTGTTCCTTAACTTTTTGATTTGATCCAGGTTATTATTTTTTGCACGTTGTTATAATTACAGGAAATTTATGAAAACTAAAGTTTGAACTTTCATTATGTTGAAAACAGTTTCTAATTCCAGAGCTGCAACAAGATCTACAAAATTAAAGCATGTTTCAATGTACATAAAAAAAAAAAAAAAAAAGAAAAAGAAAAAGAAGAAGAAGAAAGTGGAATTGCTGCAAAAAAATTGATATATGTATATCTGTCTCAAAATTATGTGAGGAGTATGGCAGTGGAAAATCAACTGTATATGTATGACATAACAGAAAAAAGAACTTTATGAATTTTTTGTGGATTCTGACACCCCACTCGCAATGAATAAACAAAAAATTACTTGCTAGTGATGATCACAGAGATCAAGTGATGATTGAATGTTCATAGAGAGATGTAGTGAGGATGTGCCATTGATGGAGACAATGCGAATGGCTCAAACCAAAATATTTCATGAACTTAAAAACGGAGTGCACATATTCGACAGGTTGGCTAACCAAATTTTAAAATTGCCGTGGTAAAATGCAGCTAAAAATGTTAGGTGAAAAAGCTTCAGCTTATTCTGAAGCAGCTGTACTATTTTGCAGATGAATTCATTGAACTCATTAACACCTTAACTGCCATGGGCATATATTATACGCCTTGCTCAGTCGATGCGTTAACTGCCCCTGGCATAAATATACGCCCTTCCGAAACACTACCATTTGCTTTGTGCTGTTACGAGTAAAATTATTTGCAAAGCTTTGGAATGCAACACCACAATGACCTTGACAGAGTATACCAAGAAGGATAGTATTTTAGAGAAGGGAGGGGGAATTGCAAAGGGGATGTTTCTGAAATGGTGAAAATAATTGACTGTGCAGTTATCACTCATGTTTCTGTTTGAGTAAAACGTATTTTGTTTACTCTGCATTTTCCTTTTTTGTTTACTGTTTGTAGTAGGTGCTTTTTTTATGAATACGTCTGAAAATTATGACTAACGACTGCTCCCTTATAGCTCATATTTCTGTTTGAGTAAAACATATTTTTTTTTTTATTATTATTCTGTGTCTTCCATTTTCGTGTACTGTTTGTAGTAGGTGCTATTTTTTATGAATATATCTGACAGTGATGATTCTTTTTTGATGAACTGTTTGTGCTTCATACTATTACTGAAACTAATCGTTTAGCAGACCAGTATATGAACTAGCATCCTACAAAAGAAAAATCAAGAACAAAATCGTAGCATCCAGCCAATTCAAATGAAATATAGTCAAAAGTCTTTAATCCAGACTCTTCGGGACTTTGGCGATTCCGGATTATCGGTTTTTCCAGATTATAGATCATCAATTTAAATCTGGTAAGATGGCATGCAGAAAGAAATTATAAAATTAAAAATATGAAACTGTAATTTATGAACTAAAGAGCAATTATGATCTAAAGGGTATCAATATTTACAAAAAAAAAAATCTTAATATTTATTTGTTTACTTTATTACACATTTCTTTCAACGAGCACATGCATAAAGCATACATTATGCATAGTCGAAATTAGAAAATTGCAACCAGAAAACTATTTGATGTGTATTTGTGATATTTATAATGACGAGGAAGTTAATTTAAATCATATGAAAGACGGAGTGCATCGAGATGAAATACTACATTTAGTAAGGAATTATAAGCCGAATAAAATAAAGACATCTGCCCTGAAGATAAGGATAGTGCTGACAGATCAACTTCCAGTTCATTGCACGCTGTGACGCACCTCCCCCCCCTCGCAGAGCAGCATGAAATTTATAAACAAATTTCAGAATGGTTAGAGAAACAAAGGATATGCCTTTATCCATTTTTTGCAGCAATTCCACTTTTTGTTTGATGGACATCGAAACATGCTTTCGCTTTGTAGATCCTTTGGCAGCTCCAGAATCGGAAATTCTTTTTGACATAATCCGAAAGTTCAAGCTTACTTTTACAAAATTACTCTAACAGTCTTCAAAAAATAATAAGCCAGATCCAATTCGAAGATTAAGGAAAAACGCAATCTGCAACATTAACTGAAATAGATAATTAGATAATTTTAGCTTAGATTATACCGTCCGTTATACATTAAATGTGCATACCTAAATGCATGTGTAAATGCATATGTGCATGCGTAAAGGTATTATGCGCATGCGTAAACACATTATGCATTTACGCATGCACAGAAAGTTTGAAGCTTTGAGGTACGGATTATAGATCATTCCAGATTAAAGACTTTTGATTGTATATATCTTTTTAGGCATACTGATTTTAAAAGGTATAACACTGAAACCTGATATCACACTTTATTGGTTTAAAAATAAATTGATCAAAAAATTGATCGTTTTTTGTTATCTTTTTTATTATTCTTTTAACCCATACATTAAATTTTGTATTTTGTGCTTTTTCTTTTATTTTTTATTTTGTAAAAGTAAACAAATTTTAGACAGCAATTATTTTCCTCCTAATACATTACACCAGCGTAAAAAACAATGACACTGGGAAGTGAATCTTGTACGTTTTCCGTGGCAGTTAAGGGGTTAATAGTGAAACTTTATCTCCAGGACATATTTACAATGCTGATAAAACTGGTCTTTCCTGGCAATATGCACCATGGAATATCTTGGCAACTTCTACAGAAAATGCTCCAACTGGTGTCAGAGATTTCAAAGCTAGACTAAGAATTTAAGCATGCGCAAATGCTGCAGAATGCACAAGTGTAAATTTTGCAGTCGCAAAAAATGTATGACCTCGAGCATTTAAAGGAGTTAAAGATTTTTCCGTTATATATCATGCAAATAAAAGAGCATGGATGAAACAAGCGTTAATGTATGATTCGGTTGAAAATCATTTCATACCAGAGGCTTGGCAAAATTTGAATTCATTTGGTTAACATGATGATGCAAAAATTGTCCTTATTGTAGATAACTGTCCAGGTCATATTTCATTTAAAATTTTAATGAAATATAATGTATCTGTTGTATTCATTCCTCTGAACTATACATCGATCATTCATGTTATGAATATCGAAATATTGCATGCGCTGAAATGCAAATATAAAGTATCATTTTTAAAATCCATGTTAAATTTCTTGAATAATGGTAAGATTATTCAAGAATTTTTGAAGTATTTTAGCATAAAATCTGCTGTGTGATACATCACAAGATCGTGGGAGAATGTGTTGTGATAAGGTCGCATAAAGGAAAAAGAAACTGAAGATTAATATGGAAAAGGATGTCTCGTGAGCATAAGATGAAAATTACTATTATTTAGCTTCCGAATACGTTTCCAATAGTTGTTAAAATAGTTGTTATTAAAATAATTAAATTGTTTGCAATGTTAAAAATGCAAGCTCGAGAGCCATGTATTGCTCGCACGTAAAAGGTATAGAATTTGATTTTAAGAAAAAGATTTAGGTTTTTCTGTTGTTGATTGTATGTACCCATTTTTTTTTTTTTTTTTTTTTTGGGCATTCAATAAAATTTTCATGTGGTGTTCCATCATTAGCGTTTTCATTGGAGTTCAACACCACAATGTTTATGCATTAACACTACACCACAGCAGTAAATATTAAAAGTTGGCGGCAGCACTTAGGGATTGTTCCTGAGAGTGAATTTAGGAATGGACTTTTTCGCCTGGGAACTTGAGTTTTATGTGAGCAGTCAAGACATTCTTCTCTTCACAAGAACGATCTAATTTTGCATGCAAGGACAGTTTGCATGGTGAAGCCTCTTCAGTGACAAGTGTCAGTGTGTCAGAAGGGAACGCCGGAAGAAGCGTGATCTAGTGCTGGAAAATAGTGAAATTTCCCGGAAGAATGTCCCAGTTAGTACCAGGAGAGTCAATCGAAGGCATCTTCAAAATTTGGTGAGTACCATTTTTGTGATTTTGGAGAAGTTATGTCAGTTATTCAAGACTAGCTTTATTTTGGACATAGTTCTGTTTTTGGGGATCAAAAGTTTTCTGGTGGTTATTGAAAGTTAAGCTTGTGGTTACTGTTGTTAATTGAAATTTAATTGTTTGTTCTATTGTTTTAGTAACTGTTTAAATTGTATGAAGTATTGTAACGGTATGCTTTAGAAAAATTTAGTTTTTAAATCAGTCCAGAGTTAGAGGACAATATTTTAGTTGATATAGAGCAAGAAAAAGTTGCCTCTTAATTAGCATTTTTTTTATACGCTTTGTTTGTAGGCATAGGTATTATCATTAAGTGTTGTAAGGAAATTTTTTGTTCAGAATTGTTAGGGAATTAATAAGTTTTGGAAGAAATAGACATGTTGTTGTTTGTGTTATTGTTTTTCTGGGTAGGTTATTTCTCTTTAATTTTCCATAATGGGTGAGTTTATGAGGAAATTTACTAAAGCTCTGCTATTGGAGTTAGCGGAGGAGTTTGAAACAAATGTGTCTCAGTCAAATAAAGTAAGAGAAATTAGGCAGGCTATTCTAAATGCTGAGGACTACGAAGAATACGCAGCAAGAATTTGGGCTGCAGCTGAGCAGAAAAAGGCAGAAGAAATAGCCGAACAAGAGAGAGCAGAACGTGGAACGTGAACAGGAGAGAGCAGAACGGGAACGGGGGAACGTGAACAAGAGAGAGCAGATCGAGAACGCGAAAGAGCAGAGCGGGAACGTGAACAAGAGAGAGCGGAACGGGAACGAGAGCGAGTTTTTTGAATTGGAAAGGTTAAAACTGATGAATGTGGTTCAGGCTAATAGCCTAACTTCCATGGTTTCGACAAGTTGAACAATCTAGAGAAGAAAAGGTTAATTTGAAAGATCTTAGTACCGCGTTTTGAACCGAGTAATATGGGTATTTCATTATTCTTTATGCTATTTGATTGCTTGCAAAAAGCTTTCAATTTTCAAAGAGAACATTAATAGAATTAACATACTCAACTTAAGCTCAAAAAGAGAACATTAATGAGATTGAGGAATACACTTTGTGTGGGGCAGACATTGGGAGTAGTTTAAATTAATTTTGTTGTATTTCTGCATTTATGTTATGTAGGAAATAAGTGCAGAGTAATGTAACTGGCTTCTCTATTATCACTTAAATGGTTACCACTTGTGTTTTGAAAGCAGTGAAAAGTATTTAGAATTTTTCCTTTCATAGTCAAGAAAAATTCCTTTATGAGGAGAGGAGTTGTGATAAGGTCGCATAAAGGAAGAAGAAACTGAAGATTATATGGACAAGGATGTCTCGTGAGCATAAGATGAAAATTATTATTATTTAGCTTCCGAACACGTTTTCAATAGTTGTTAAAATTGTTATTAAAATAATTAAATTGTTGGCAATGTTAAAAATGCAAGCTGGAGAGCCACGTATTGTTGGCACGTAAAATGTATAGAATTTGATTTTAAGAAAAAGATTTAGGTTTTTCTGTTGTTGATTGTATGTAGCCATTTTTTTTTTTTTTGGGGGGGGGCGTTCAATAAAATTTTCATGTGGTGTTACATCATTAGCGTTTTCATTGGAGTTCAACACCACAACGTTGATGCATTAACACTACACCACAGTGCCTCTCATTAAGCGACAAGGTCACAGTTTCAGGTTCCCAGGCATCGCCCTACCCTGTGTGTAGCTAAGTGAAAATAATTTGGAGCATATCTTTTTTCTTTGCTAGCACATTCCATGAAAAATTTGGATGCGATGCATTTGAAAGCATCAGAGGATGTAAAAAATCATAGAAATAAGTAGCAATTATAGTAGTTTGGCATATCTTAATTGGAGGAATATCTTGCATAAATAGCAGTGAAATGTTAACATTCAATTCAACTAACGGAGAGCAATTACTTGTATGTAGATGTCGGCGGGTGAACTACTGCAGCACGTATCATCTGAGAAATGAGGTCAGCTGACTTGAGGAGCTAAGGCCACTAAAGGAAATCGAAGGCACAGTGCAGTAAAACTATAGGTAGGCAATTTAGGGGGGGGTTAGGAAAGGATTTTCAAAGGCATGTGAATTTTGAGATTGGTAGAGCTGAAATAGGGGAAGGGGGAATTCAAGTAGAAATTTTACATTATGCGCCCGGTTAGCCCATCGGCAGGGTCGCAAATGTGCAGTTTAACTCACAAAAAGATCATGGTTTGTATCTGGTGGAACTGCAATAGTATTACCCACAAAGAGTATCTGGAAAAAGGTAAAACACTTGACAGTAAGGTGTTCAGCGAGATGCTAGTTTGTGTTGACACTGCTATCAAGGAAAAACGTCACACTAAGTTCCAGCACAAAAGAGGTAATGTTCTATCAAGATAATGGAAGACCACATGTGTCTGCATTCACCAGCTGGACTGTACGCACTCGAATGAAATCTTTTGTCACACCCACCAAATAGCCCGACATCGCTCCTTCAGACTTTAATCTTTTTCACACGTGCTGCTTTGCTAGTGCTATCTTCCATTCTGCACAGGACGTTTGAAATGAGTTTGATCTGTTTTTGGACTCGTTGCTACCAAATTTCTGGGCTGAAGGCTTTGAAGAAGTATAAAAAATATTGGCAGAAAATCATAAATTTGGGTGATGTTTACTACCTGCACATTGGGTACCGCTTTCATGCTTTTTCCTAACTTTATTCTGAATGATTTTTGGCAGAAAATTTTCATTACAACCAGACAGAATAAGCATCGACTAACGAGAATGCTAAAATCGGAATATTTTTAAACTGAGTTGGTAAAAAATATTAACAGCACAATGTAACTGCCAGAAGCTTTCTACACTAAAGATTCAAAACCCTCAGCTTAAATACATGAAAAGCTAACTGGCATTCTGGTAAGGAATATGGAAAGACATAAATCATAATAACTGGTTACTTAACATAAGCTAATTTACAAACCTAATAACCTGGCTCTTAATTTAAGCGGTCCTAACTAAAAGCTCACCAAAGGTTAGTGTAGTTATCCAAGTTGGAGGAATATGAAAAATACAGCACCTATCATTAAACTGTCACTGTCACTCACTTAATTTGTACTTTTTGGCAGAGTTAACAGAATGATTAGAAATTCAGGCAACAGAAATTTGATCGATATAAAATTAGCAATATGTCTACACAGAAGGAGAACCTTTTAGAACTTTACACAGAAGGAGAAACACACAGAAGGAGAAACTTTTAACTTATTTTATAAGAATGTTAATAACTTCTAACAAAACAGAAAATTTAATATAAATAATAATGTGAAAATAAATGCAACAAAAATCATCATTTATTATATTACTAGTGATTAGAGTTCAGGTCTTGACAAATTTGAATTTGACTAAATCCACTTCTTACATAAAAATATATCTTGCTTTGAAAAAAAAAAAAAAAAAAAAAAAGTCTTTGATGATAATTAGATGTTTTTTAAATGCAAACAACAGTTTATTTGAGAAATTTAGTATACAATAAAGACCACAAAATATCTTTTTCCTAAAACATCTTTTTAAAATAATTTTTGTTTGTTGTCTTACAGAAACGAAGACAAAAATCTTATATTCTAGTAAATTTTAATGCTGTCGTATGTTTTTGAAGTAGAAAAAAGCACGCTTAATTTATAGTCTGACATTATTATTAAAAATGTACAACAATATTTTGAACTAATTTTATTTGATTCTCCGCTAATAAATATAGATTTGATAGCTAAATAAAGTTATTTAAATGATTTGAATAGATTCAATTACTAATGAATACCCATTTCCCAAAATGAGTTGTCAACATTCTTGATTAGAAAATTTTCAGCTTCTGAACTGCACATTCACTAAGCTCAGCTGCCTTTTAAAAGAATCTGTTTAGTTTCAGAAAACTTTGTGCTGAATAATACTAGCATTTAGTCCTAAAAATGCTGTATATATGTATATTTATTTACACATATTTTCTTGGAGACGTTAATAATTTTGAAGTTAAAAACAAGCATTTGAAAATACTTTTTTTAATTAAAAGTTTCACAGTTTTACAGACACGTTTATTAAATGAAATTTTTACATAAAATATTTCAGGAAAACTTTTAAAAGTTGAAAATTTTTGGATAATATATTCTACAATAATTAACTTTAATAAATTTCAATCATTTAAATTTGATGTTTAATTTTGTAGCTGAACAGATTTCATGCAACGTTTTTCAAATCTCTTTAAAATACCTTTATTCCTCTAATTTAACATTTTCTTCATAAAATGTAACCCCCCCCCCAAAAAAACTTCATCTTAAAAAAGAACACAATTTAAAAATTACAGCACTGAAGCTTTTAAAAATACATGCTTTGCATTTTAAATAAGTTTTAAAATACCTGAAGAGAGCACATTAACTTGATTTTGAAGTTCATTTCTTTCTGCTTGTAAAGCTCTGCATAGTTTTTCTAAAGTTAAAATCCGCTGTTGAGCATTGGCCAATTCTTTATCATGTTTCTGCTTCTGCAATTAGTAATAAAAAAATATCAAGACTATTGTTGGAGTTATAGTGTGAGCATGGAACATTTAATCTATTTTTCACTCTAAAGAAAAAAAAATAGGTAATAATTATTTAAAAATATGGGATCATAACATATACCACATTTTCGATAATTACTCATCAAAGAAAAGTCAAGCACACAGTAAAATGCAAAAAATATTCATAAATTAAAATTATTAAGTACAACAAAATATATTCATTTAAAAAATAAGAATATGAATACAAAATGGAGTACATATACTAAAAATAGTTTTGAAGCATAAAAAATTCCTTAGTTAAATATTTGTTTCCAAAATATAACAGTTTAAAAAGACTTAATAAAATACACCATATATTATGAGATTTGATTAGCATATTAAGTAAATTTTTAATGACTTCTTTAACTATACTTAATGCATATTATTAAAATACATTTATTAACTGATATCAGACATATTACTTAAAACTTTTTTGTTAATGCTTAATGTACATTTACTAAAAATGTTTGAAATTTTCAGAAAAATGTTATCAACATAATTAAATGTTAAATGAAAATTTTATCTTTTCATTTTTTCTTGATGGTAATTAATATATATATTAACAACATGAAAATTAACATTCACTGTCATTATTAGCAAAGAAAATAATGGATATTCTATCACAGCTAAAATAATTATTTAATAAACAATTACAGTTACTAAATAAAATAAACTATGCTGAAGCAGGGACAAAAAAAAAAAAAAAAAAAAAAACACAGATATATGCATGCAATATTAAAAAATATGCAATTGGTGATTTTTATGTAATATTTATGATCTGAATATTTACATTATGATCTATTTATCAGTCTCATAAATATTTATTTTATAAACTTTTGTTTCTTGGTCTTGATTTATGCAAAGCATAGAAACAGGTTTGTTTGGCACACAGAGCTAGGCAGAAAGAGGGATTTTAGACAGCAAAAGAATTTTATTGGTCTTTGGCAGTCCTCTTTATGCCACTTTACACTGGCTTCTTTCAACTTTGGTTTGGTACAAAATATAGCAGCATATATTATATTTTCAATAAGCATATTTTTAAACCGTATTAACAGAGTGAATTTTATTTTGAAAGTATATTAAATATTTGAAAGCTTTTCAGAGCTTTCAAATACAGGGTGGGAGAATTCTAAAAATTGTGCAGCTCACAATCAGTAACAACATAAAATGAAAACAAAATGGGAAATAAAGGATAAAGACAACTTAATTTTAGTCTTAGTGTTTAATAATTTTGAAATCTTTCAAAGATAGCCTGACTGCATGCAGACACATATGTAAATATGCATGCATTAACTAAAAATCATAAATAAAAACTAATAATAGTTTTAAACCCATAAATTTGAACAAGAATATATTTGAAACAGCTGCATAAATGTTATGCTAATTCAATTCAGTACATTTCAGCTAAATAGTTAAGAAATGAAATTAATCTGAAAATATTTAAATGCAGAAAATAACAACATACTTACATCATTTATCATGCCTAACAGAGCATTATTGCTGCTTTCCCATTTCTGCTTATACACGTTAGTTTCCTTTTCAAGTTTCTTAATTTTTTTGGATGTCTAGAATGGGAACAAAAAATTACCACTGATAACAATATTATTGATTACATTATTATTAATTAATTACCATGTAATTCTACATGAAGTAGCTTCCTTGTAAGGAATTTTTAACATATAGACCTAAAACAATACGTGTAAAATATTACAGAATCAATGTGTTTTTACCAAGTATATTTTTATTCAGCTAAATTATCCATATCACACCCTGCAGCCTTTTAAATATTTCTGAAAATTCATTTATATACTCTTATTTTTCATTTGAATACATATTGATCAAGTTCAAAATATTTTTTACAAATATTTCTTGATCTCTGTCATGTGTGTCACCATTTCTTATAATATAGTTGCCATCCTTGAAAGCTAAAGCGGGAGAATCCAAAAGATTTTCATTCTCGTGCTTTTCATGCTTCATTTCAAAGGAACTCCTGATTGACTTAAATTCACTTTATAATGCATGATTCAAGTTACTAAACTATTTTTATTACAATTCTGATGCAAAATATATCAGTATTTAATTAGATATTCTAAATTTTATGCTCTTTGTATAATTTTATTTTGTAATTTTCTTACGCTTTTATACTGAGAAAATCCCAAATACAGAAAAAAAAAAAAAAAAAAAAAAAGCTTTTATTTATCGAAGTACTTTTAAATACAGTGAAAATAAAGTTAATGATTAATGTATATAACATTTACCTAGATAATCATAGTAATGTACCATATAATGAAGTAAAATAAGTATAAATATTAACTGATTAAACATTGGTTGAATCTTCATATAAAAATAAAATAAATGTCTGCAGTAGATTGATTATGAGAACTCAGAAAAAATTAAATTAAATAAGAAAAGGTTAATAAAATGTAATAAGGGGGGGGGACAGTTCAAATAAAATAAAATTTTCGAAGAAAAAATATTCTGAGAATCGCTACATATGTAGGAATAGAACTGGCACAGTTTAAGTTTCATACATTCAATAAAATGAACTCATTAGTGGAAAATATTTTCCTTAGCCATGGCTAAAAGTTAAAAACCAGAAGTATTTGGTGATCTACTGGTAAACCAGATGTGATGAAAAACTGGGACGTATATAATACTTAGCATGTGAAAAGTAGCTCTAGAACATCTTGCTGGAAGTGGTATTTTTCTTCTGGAATGATCCTTCTCCAATCAAGAGAATTGCATTAGAAATTTTCTGCAGTTGTTAGAAAGCAAGTTTTGCTAATGTTTTTTTTTTTTTTTTTTATGTAAAGATTATTATTTGTAAATTCTTACTATCTCTATTTTTTTTTTTTTTTTTAAGTGGGATGTAGCTGATCATTTTAATTATGAAATTCATTTTATATACATTTTCTGAACAGAATTTTTTTTAGAGAAGAATAATCAAATAAATATTTTGTCATTACAGTTCTTCCATAGCAAATTAGAAAAATATACCTCAGTATGATCCCTATTTATGAATAATGCAATTAAGTTCATAGTTTTTGATAATTGTAGGGTTCATAGCTGATTCAAAACATATTTGATATACACATAATTTCTTTTACAACTAAAAAGATTATTTATGACAAATAGATTAATTATACAAGCTCTTAGCAATATTCTGAGACAGTAGTCAAACTGACTGCTAACACTCCTACCCTCTAATTTACACAAAAAAAAAAATAAATAAATAAATAAATAAATAAATAAATAAAAATAAAATAAAAGAAGTAATTTTTGCTTTGTACACCATCCAAAACAAATGCAGTATCTTAATGATGCTGATTTCCGTACTAAAGTGTTTTGAGTTCGAATCCCAGAGAAGGCATGGATGTTTGTAAATGTATAGTGTCTATCATGGAGGGCACTCGAAATATACGGCGAGCCAAACATTCTCTCAAGTAGTTTGGTGGTAGGGGATGAGGGTGGAAGACACTCAGTCCCATCCCCCGATATGCTCTCCTTCAAAACTGGATAAAATTATACTGTCACCTATGTGGTGCTCAAGGCTCATGCCAGTGATAGATGCAATCTTACAATTTTTGCCATGATACAGTTCATGGGCTTTTTCTGATTAGGTCACACAAGTAAGGTTAGTTACAACAAACACAATTCATATTCATAATTTTTTTAATCTAGGAAATAATGTAAAACTCTGGTTTAAAGGAAACATAAAACCATATTAACCCATTCAGGACCAACATCACGTAGGCACGATGTAACGATTCCATTGTTACCAGCCCAGCATCATTAGTGTGGGGCGAAGAGCTCTGATCAATCTCTTCAGCCCCACACTGCTTATGCATAACTTGAAAACGGAATGATATTTAAAAAAATTTTTAAATGCAGTAGGTGGTGTTAAATGGTAACATTTTTCACATTGGTTAAGTCATGTGGCTCTTGTCCTTTATGTATGAGCATCAGTTTCTGTTCTGTGCTTCTGGTTTTTATACATTTATTGGTGTAACAGCTCACAGCTCTTTAATGCATGAGCACTAGCATGTTTATTTCATCAGGAATTTTCGTTGTTTTGTTGTCTTCATTTTTATTCTTTGCATTTTCATGATTAGAATGTGGGAAATGCATTCAGCTCAATGTTTTCATTAAGTTTTGTTATTATTGTTGCTGTTGTTAGGAGAATGTGAGAAAATGCATTCAGACAAGTTGTCCTTTTTTATATTTATTTTAAAACTTAACATAGACTTTCTTGGTTAATTAAAAAGTAACTTTACAGCATTACTACAAAAAAGGAAAGACATCAGCTTTCTTGATATGTGAGGCATCTTACAGGGTTGCCACTCAATCATAGTCAATTCCCTGACTTTTCCAGGTTTTCCAGGTGTGTTTCAAGAAAATTCCAGTCTATCCGCGTAATGTACGTTGGCTGTGCTAAGAGGTAAATTAATTATGGTATTACTTGCATTGTGTAGCAAATTCACTTAATTATTCAATAAATCCCAGAGGACATTTATTCTTAATTATTCTTGGTATACTTTGTTTGATAATTTTGTTTAGTTTTCCACTTAATAAAATTTAAGATATATACATTGGATAACAAATGTATGTTTTATTTAATTATTACTTATGATCATCACCAGTTCAAGACGAGGCTAATCCGGTCCTTATAAATCACAACGCAATGCTAAATAGTTAGGTTAGATTTTAGGTAAAATTTAATTTGCGTGAGTATGTTCTTAAAAGGCACCTTAACACTTGAAAACACAAATATAATTATAATAGGAGTTGTTTTTCTCCACTGAAGATTGAGATTAGAATCTTCCCAATCTGGAACAAAATAAGGGCTTTTTTTTTGCAGACATTTGCAGCTAAACGGAAGAAAAGAAAATCTATTTTAATAAATTGAGGTATTTTATATTTATTTCGCAGCATACATAAGGAAAAAATATGTGCATTAAATTTCGTGATGGTATGTCATCATACTGCTAGAATTCATTTCTGGATTATGCCAGAGAAAATTTCCTGAAATTTGGAAATATTATTTACTAATAATAATAAATTTAGAGGGAAGAAGCAACATTAAATTTATGAATAACATAAAATAATTACTTAAAAAGTTGAATTAGAATAATCAACGATATTTTAGCGAATATAGTTATATTACATGGCTAGCATAGATGACTGATTACTATTTTTTATTTTACTGCAAAATGGCAAGGTATTTATTAAAAAAAAAAAAAGGTTTAAAAAAGATTTTGCGGTAAATTCTAGTATACGGTAAAGGTTTTTGGCACGATTTGAAAATTGTCGCCAAGACCAAAATGACCCGTTTTACTGCGCATCATGATGTCGCCAAATCTCATTATTATTCTAACCAAAGAACGTCTATGTAAAGAAGAAAGGTTCCATACAAGTAAAATGCTATTACGCCGTTAGAATGCGGAGGAAAAATTTGCCAAGGGATCTGGCGACGGAACCTGGCGGCCAGAATTTCCCTCTCCGCGATGTGTACAGGAAATTGAGAAACACGTGTTAAGAAACGCTCTTTGACAAAAAGAAAACTACGAAAATCCGTTTTTAAAATTATTGAGAAAAATCCACGCAATAATTTTAAAAACGGATTTTCGTAGTTTTTTTTTCCCCTGAAAATAACTAATCCATGAATTAATTTACTTGCGCCAAAAAATATTTTCTTTTCCTTTAGAGTTTAACCCCTTGCGCTAAGACTAAACTTCACGGTTGCGGTGCCGTGCGCTACAATATAACAAGCGGTAAAGCGTCTCATTTACGCCGCTCCGCATCTGCGAGTGCAATCCAGAGCTGTAACTCGAGAAATAAACAATCTCGTTGTTAGGCGACGTGTGCACCATGTTACTTTCATTTTTGCGATAAATGCTTATCGACGCGGTGTTCACATCGCTCACGGTTTGAGACAGAAGCATCTCGACGTGCGTGGCACGTCTTTTTATCGCAAGTCGTTAAAGAAATTTTAAACGATATTCATTTTATGAACTCTTGATAACGTGACCTTCGAACTTCGACACCGATTTCGAGCTTTGGCAACAGATATATCAGACATGCACAGCTGTTTCCCTCTATGATGGAACGGAGCCACGTCTGTTGCAGAGAGGTTTTCCTTCTTTACAATACATATTCTTTGATTCTAACCGGGAAAGTTGCTTTGCCTTTCTAAAAGACAATCAAATTGGAGCTGCGAAAATTGGCTCTATGCCAGCTACCCGAATGACACTCACGTGATACATAATTCGCCAAAAAAGTTCTCTTCCGACGTCGGCGCAAATCGCTTTTTTTGGCGGATCGTTGTATGAACTTCCCTGACTTTTCCAGATTTTGACAAAAATACTTAAATTCCCTGACTTTTCCCTGAATATTTTGGTCAATTTTTGAATTCCCTGACTTTTCCCGGTTTTCCAGGTAGCGTGGCAACCATGATCTTACTTGGCATATGCTCGATGAAAAAAAGCCATCACTATTCTCTGTGTTGTGCTAAATTATTTCACAAACAACAAAATTATTAAATTACCTACAGATTATTATTGCTTAATTTTCTTTTACATTTCGTATTTCTTATTACAAAACATTGCCATCGGCCCACACATGGCGACCTTCTAATTTGGGGGGGGGGGTTCGGTCCTGTGGCTGTGCTTCATTCTCCATGCACTGGTCCTCAAGAGGTCAAACACTTAAATATTATTATAATTTTTTTTATTAAAAAAAGATACTTACTGCTTCCATATCAGTTTTAAAAGTAGCAAACACTTGGCTGCTCTTGCTAAGTACTGACTGAAATTCTTCATACTTGGTTGTATAATCTCCCAACTCAGTCCGCAGTTGCAATTCATTAGAAGTGAGCATAGTGCACTTCTTTTGAAGTTCACTCATATTCTCCAAAAGAGCTTGCTTTTCCTTCAAGAATTTTTCAGTTTCTTGTTTTAAGAGCAAGTTTATTTTGGCATGCTTGGCTTTTGACAGCTGTACTTCTAAATCTTTTTGGTGCACAACCTTTTCCATATGCTGGAAGTTTAAAAGAAAAATTAAGGCACAGCTCACTTAAAAAAAATTAAATAAATAAATAAATAATAATAATATAAAAGTTATTAAAATCAAATGAGTCTTTTTTCCCCCAATTCATACAAATATTTCAAATTAGTCCTGAAATTGTATTAGATTTTTACAATAAGGATACAGTTTTTTTAAACAAAAAAGTACATTTTTTTTAATAAAATGATCCCTATCATGACCTTCTCAAAATATTACAAAAGAAATTTTAACCCTTTCAGGGGTGTTATACAAAAGAATTCAAATCGAGGTAAAATTTTGCATAAATGGTAGTATATGTGCCTTAAGAGCATAAAACTGAGATTGAAAATTATCAGAACGAAATTCTGAATTCTAAGACTCAGTATGTATTTTATACCACCGCCCCAGTAAGAAATTTTTTCCATGTAGCTTTCAATGATAATTATTTATTTTTTAAATCTATTTTGCAGACTTTTAATGTGCATTACAGAAATGCGTTCTTGAATGCAATTACTTAGATTCGGAGTCAAAAATTTAATTATGTGCATTACAGAAATGCATGCTTGAATGCAATTACTTAGACTTGGAGTCAAAAATTTTAAATTTTAGAGATAAAATTTATTTTTAGGCAATTTGATGATGTCATCGAGTTGAGCATATCGAGTTGAGCATATTTAGATATAATATGTGAAAAAAGCTTTTGAAAGTGATTTAAGCTGAATATTAATACTCTATGTAACAATGCAAAACTGTGTTAACCCGTTCAGAATCAACAATTCCATTGTTATCAGCTCAATGAGCACAAACCAAGATCAAGGCTGTTATTTTATTCATCTTGTCACTGAGCGGTTGTGAGTGCACATGCATTTGAGAAATAGTTTAAGAAATAATTATCTTTTTTTTTTTTTAGTTATTACTACCTATCAAAAATTTAATAAATATAGCATTAAAAACACAAACTGTACCATACTGTAACTGTAACAGGAACTGTGACACACTGTTATAAGGAAATGTAACTCAGCTGAAAAATGAAAATTTACTTTCATGAAGTTATCAGTTTTATGCTTTTAATAATTTATAAAAAGAACATGCCTCTTGCTATGATACAAAGTCCTCAGAACTCCCTCCTCACATGCATACTTTTGATTATTGGGCCTCTGGGTCCTGTAAGTGCCCCTTTCGAATTTTTTGTAAATACAGGATGTAATACCACATTTGATGGCACATAAGATGCACTTTTTTCTTAAATTTGGTCTTAAAAAGGTTACCTGCGTCTTATACGTGAAGGACACAAGTTAACTTTCAATACTGAATGCTATTTTTAGCCTGGATAAAGGTCTAGACACACATAACTTTTTCTACATCTGCCATAATTATTTTGTGCATGCGTGAAATATCTGTCACCAAAAAGTGCCAAAGCTCGAAGCTGATGTCGAAGTTCGAACAGGTTTGACGGTCACATTACGTCTATGGAGCCTTTCCTTCTTTACATAGACTTTCTTTGACTCAGCCGACACACGTGTCTCGGTGCTTAAAACTATTTGTTTAAAAAAATACCCTGGAAAATATGACTACAGGAAACAAGAGATTAAGCTATACAATTCAGTATAAACTAGGAGTGTTAAACTACGCCAAAGTGCACGGAAACAGAGCAGCAGCAAGGCATTTCGGTCCACCACCTACCGAAAAAATGATACATACCTGGCGACCGCAGGAAGATCAACTGAAGAATGCTAAAAAACAAAAGCATAACCTTCGATGCCCAGCTCCATCTTAGCCTGAACTTGAAAATGCCATAAAAATGTGGGTGATAGATAAGAGGAAATCTGGAATAAGTGTTTCAACCAAAATGATAATCAATGAGCCAAAGGATTTGCAGAAAAACATCGGAATCAGAACGTTTCAGGGTCTGAGGGCTGGTGCTACAGGTTCATGAAAAGGCAAGGCTTATCAATGCGCACAAAAAACAACTAGAAAATGCCATCAGATTATGAAGAAAAAATAATTTGTTATAAATGCATTCAAGAAAACTTTTTTTGAGCTCGGTCAAATAGGAAATATGGATGAAATTCCACTCACATTTGATGTACCATCCAACAAGACTGTGAGTATTAAAGGGTCTAAATAAATAACCATAAAAACCACAGGTCATGAAAAAACCCGATATACGGTAGTTCTAACATGATGTGCTGATGGCACAAAACTACCGCCGTTTTTCATATTCAAAAAAGAAAAACTCATCCGACAGAAAAACTTCCAACGGGTGTAATTGTTGATGTTCATCCGAAAGGCTGGATGGACGAAGCTGGAATGAAACTGTGGTTACAGAACGTATGGGCGAGGCGACCTGGTGGACTCTTAAAAAAACCCTCTCTTTTGGTTTTGGATCAGTTTAGCGCCCATAGAACTGAAACCATAAAGACAATAAAGCGAGAGAATTAAAAACCCAGATAGCTGTCATTCCTAGTGGACTGACTAGCCAATTGCAGCCTTTACACGGTGAATAAGCCATTTAAGGAAAAAGTGCGAAAACGATGGAACAAGTGAATAGGAGAGCCACATCACGTCCTCACACCCTCAGGTAGAATGAAGTGGCCCTCTATTTCACAAGTATGCAAGTGGGTAAAACGATCTTGGGAGGACATAAAGGCTGAAGTAATTGTTAAGTCCTAAGAAGTGCAGAATCAGTAAATGCTCTTGACAGAACAGAAGACGACGCATTATTTGAAGAAGGTGATACTAGTGATGACGATATTCTCGTTTTCGATGATGATGATAGTGAAAAGGATTTTTATGGTTTTGAAAGCGATTAAAGTCTAATTTCATGATAGGCAACATTTTCCTTGAATCTGTGTTTTTTGTTGTTTCTGCTTTATTTTGTATTATGTTTGATTGCTTGCCATTCATTCATTTATTCATTATTGAAATTTACATATCATATTCAAAATAGCTTGCCGTTTGTTAATTTTCCTTAATAAAAATATATTTGGCTTTTACGAAACGTGAGAACTAAAAGAAACGACATTTTAAGTTATTGTGGTACCGCGCTATTGTGCGACTATTAAAACCTTTTTCCCTTGTGTGTGGCCTTCTAAATAAGGGTGCGTCTTATATGCCATCAAATACGGTATATCATTTTTTGTTCAGGGAGAAAAGTTTTTAAACGATTTTATTTCTGATACATCTCAAAGCTCTTTTTTTTTTTTTCCTTCTATTTTCAGCCCTGTAGTGGTCCCTTTTTAATTTTTCTATAAATAACGTAGTAATATATAATTTTGTTAAGGAAGAATGCTCTTTTACTAGAAGTCCTAACATACCTTGAAGCTATTTTTTCCACTATTGGACCCATGGGCTCTACAGAAGCCCCTTTCATAAACAACTAATATAAATACACTCTCACCTCACAGAACAGAGAAAGAAGACAAGCTTGGAAGGCCAATAATAGCAAGTCTTACATGGGTGATGGTATAATTTATATACCAGTCTTAAAAATCATTAAATAATCTACTTCAGCAGTTTTTTTTTTTTAAATTGAAATGCAGTAAATATATATAGTTCAGCCTATGTATGTTATACATATGGAGATTTTGAATTTCCACCCCCTCCAGTACAGTTTAGGTATCTTGAAATGTGAGACCTCTGAATGAGATACATTAATTTGGCAGTCGCAAAATATTCAGCATTGATAGGGTAGTGCTGCCACTTAAAAATTACATATTTTGGTATTAAAAAAAACCTGCATTTTTAGGGTTTAAAAAATTGACAAATTTCAGGTATATTTAATAAACCAGTGCCCTTGAAAAGGATAAACAAATACAAGTACTACCAAATACACCAGGATGATTGTTTATTTGCTAAAACGTGCTGCATGCATGGCTGCAAATCTGGGCTACTGTCACAGATATTTGAAAAAGAGTTATGCAAATCTGAACTTTGAATTGACTACTTTTAAGCATATCTGATTATGAATGCAAAAATTTAGAATCTTAACAAACTTCACATTTTGAAAAAAAAAATCTGATATATACACCACAACTTCCTTGTACGGAATACTAAATTATACACATTTTTTCTTGCATTTCATTTAAACTTATTGGATTGAATTAATCTACTTCGTCGTTAGCGCATAAAACCACAACAGAATAAATGCACTCTTTAAAATTTACTATATTTGTTTACCATAGAGACACTCTGACGCTAGGTTCACTTAACAGCGTTAAAATTTCGTTTATATTATAACTAATCCTAATAGTTTCTGGTATACTGGTACACAATCACATTAGGATTTTAACCAGTTCCTTTTGCATATGCCTTAGGCCAATTACGTATGTAAATAAATCAAGGTGAGAATGCATATTATAACTCAGAATGCACAATATTTATATCATTTGAAGAATTATCTAATCGTTGCCACATAGTCTATTCAAATACTATAACAAATTAAAATGATGTATAAAAGAAATTAAGCAAAAAACAAACAGTTTTTAACAGGCGATTCAGTATTTCTCATTCAATTAATTCAGTTCTCACTTCCCGACAAGACAAAAATACATAAAAACTCAAAATATCTATATTAAAAATTACAAAATAAATCTGAAACACTTATTTCTTCAGATAAATTCCAGAATGAATTAATTCACAATAAAAAAAAGAAGGCATGATCTTTGTTGTTGCAAAGCTCAGTTTCTCTAGATCGGCAACAAATCCACTATTCTGCTAAGTTCCAAATATAAACAAAAATGGCTGCTATGGTAAAAATAATTAGGCTTAGCGCACTTAAACAACTTTTAAATTGTTGATAATTCTAAAAATATTGCATGCAGATTTACTAAAGGTATAAAATCCTTAACCGGAAGATAAGAACAGCATAGTTCAGTCATTTCTTAAACAAAAAATGTACAATTTAAAAACATATAAGAATAAAGAAACTGAGATCACTGAGCCGAGTAACAGAGTGGATATATATACATATATTTACATATGTTTGGTGTGGCCGATTGCAACCAAAATACGAGGTGCACATCTACATGTTATAGCAGCCCTACATACAAAATTTCAACTTTCTGAGGCCACTCATTTTTTAGTTATGCGAGATACGTGCATACAGATGGCACGGAAAATTCTCTTCAGAATTAATTTAAAATCCATTTCATAATTTTTTTTGGGGGGGGGAAGAGTCTTTTATTCTGTACTTACAACAGATGTCACGCAAAAACATCGTTAAATTGCATTCGATAGCAGTCAAAACGGATATTTTCGTTGAAATATGATGCCTGAAAACTTTTTTCGATTACAATACTTCCTTTTTACTTCGTACAAGGAAGTAAAAAGGGACTTTGATTCTCAGAATAAATAAATCAGAGAATTTCATGACAAAAATGCTAGGTAATAGTGACATAATACAAGTTATATTTAGCTCAGCTGCAATAGTTTTTAAACTATTTAATTTTCTGCAACATATGTTAAAAGACCTTACTTAACTTTACTATATAGTCATATAAACACTTGAATAAATGCAAACATATTTATAAATTTATGGAAAAAACACAATGAGCAGATTACTATCAAAGCATTTATACATAGCATTTACACTAGATACAGATAGGAATGCATGTGCAGAGATAACTCTCCAAGAATTTTTCAGGTCATATAGATATAGTTGCACTTTTAAACTTCAATTGATAAATTGTTTAAATATGCTTAGAACTACCATGTTGATTGCATGATATTCATCTTATGATTATACAGTTTTGCTCAAACTATCTGAATTTTCTATTCAGTGTGCTGTTTACTTTTTTTAGAAGGGGATAAGATTTTCATTAAAAGAGCTGCCATCTGCCTCTTCATTTGGAGGGTGAGACAAATTATAAACTGAAATTAATTTTAAAATATTGTACTCTTCTGTATGCAGAGTTGTCAGTTGAGTTCTGTTTAAACTTTTTAAACTGATGCAAGTACAGATTTCAAGTTCAAGTATGATATTTTCATATTAATATATATTGGTTGCTGAATATTTTAAATTTCATCTATGAATGTAAGGGATAAAATAATTGAAAATCATTTCTTGAAAACAAATTACTGCAGGTTCTTGTTAGCAGATGCGGGATTAAGCAGCACAATATTATTTTTATAAGTTACTACAACTGAAGACATCAGGTTATTAATCAAGTAAGGAATTAAAGACATATGATTTAAATAGGCAAATAAAAAATTTAAAGATAAAAATGTATAAAACTTTAAAGGTACAGTTTTTGTAAAATTATTAAAAATAAAATTTTCATAAAATAATTTCTTACATTCAACATTAGGGAAAAATTTGGGCTATTTTTAATGAAACTGTATAAAGTAAAGCAGAAAAATTTGATGAACTAAAACAAATTTCTAACAACACCCCCCAAAAAAGGAAAATTTATTTATGCTTTCAAGACAAAATGTACATCCAAAATCTACCAATACTGGAAATTTTGGATTGGATCATTTCAAATATTGTAATATTATTCTTTTGTTAATTATCAGCAAATCTGTTTATTGTTTGATACAGTCAAAAGTCGTTAATCCGGACTCGTCGGGACTTCGGCGATTCTGGATTATCGATTTTTCCGGATTATAGATCATCAGTTTAAATCTCGTAGGATGGCATGCAGAAATTCTAAAATTAAAAATATGAAACCGTAATTTTATGAAATAAAGACAATTATGATCTAAAGGTATCAAAATTTACAAAAAGAAAAAGCTTAATATTTATTTGTTTACTTAAATAAACATTTCTTTCAATGTAAGTTGTTTAAGTTTTGCTTCGTTTCATGTGATAATACTCTCTCTTTAATTCTATTAAACAGACATAATTTCTTGTTCAGTTACAAAGTTCCGCTGTTCAAGTCCTATAATTGCTATGTCAAGAACACCGACTAATTTGTCAATCGAAATTTTTTCGTTTTCAATAACCTCTGTTACTTTTCTTCGCTATCTAAAGCGAATTATAATGACGAGGAACTTGTTTTAAATCATATCAAAGACGGAGCATATCGAAATGAAATACTACATTTGGTAAGGAAGTATAAGCCAAATAAAATAAAAACATCTGATCTTCAATTATAAGCCAAATAAAATAAAAACATCTGCCCTGAAGATAAGGATAGTGCTGAGAGATAACTTCCAATTCATTACGCGCCCGCCGCGCGGCGTTCCTCCCGCCGAGCAGCGTGAAATTGATAAACAGATTTCGGATTTCAAAACATACTTTTGCTTTAGATCCTTTACATATTAACAAATATATATCGGAAATTCTATTTGATATAATCGAAAGTTTAAGCTTACTTTTATAAAATTGCTCCTACAGTCTGCAAAAAATAATAAGCCGGATCCAATTCGAAAATTAAGGAACAACGCAATCATCAACATTAACTGAAATAGATAATTAGATAATTTTAGCTTATACGTCCATTTATACATAAAACGCGCACGCGAAAACGTATTCTGCACTTGCGCACACTCATATGCGCAGTAGTAAAAGGTCTTACGCGCGCGTAAGCGCCTATGCGCATGTGTCAATGCGGCGCATGCGCAGAAAGTTTTTAGTTTTGAGGTCCGGATTATAGATCATTCCGAATTATGGGTGTCCGAATTAACGACTTTTGACTGTACTACTTAAAGTTTTATAACATGCTATATATGTTTAAGCTTAGGAGAAAGATACTATTTCCATACAAAAATTTCTTCAATAAAAACTGAATTTCTCTAAATGGATATATATTTAAAATTTTCTAAAGTTATAATTTTTATAGTATGAGTAAGTAGTGTATAAAGTTTATACTTTTGTTAAATTGATTATACTAAATAAACATTCAAATACGCATTTAATTCATGTTACTATCTCAGATACTAAATTTATTTATTACTTTTGTTAAATTGATTATACCAAATAAAAATTCAAATATGAATTTAATTCATGTTATTATCTCAGAGACAGTACTTTGATGAAATAGCAACATTATTTTTCCCATTGCTGTCAAGAGTCAAACTTCTGTAAAAGAATTATTAACAGATTGAAGCATATGTATCTACATTGGAAAAATGATATATTTTTCAAATAATAAAAAAAAAAAAGTGAAAAAAAATAATTTATACCTTTTCCCACATTTCATAATGATCAACTAAAGCTTTTAGTTTTTTTGCTAATTCTGTATTCTCTTCCCTTAGCTGAATGTTTTTCTTAGAATTTTCCTGCATTAAAGCACTAATGTCATTTAGAGTTACTTGGAACTTATTAGCAACTTCTTTCCTTTTCTCTTCTTCTTCTTTGATACGAAGCAGACTTTCTTCCTGAATTAATAAACATACATGTACTAAATTAATAAACAGTAACAAGAAATGATTTCCTTTTAAAATGCAATACATAAAGACTCAAAAATTAGAAAATATCATTCATCATATGATGTGTATCATAAATAATATTTACTGCTTTAGCAGTAGTTGATACCAAATTTTTTGAATAAGTAACCATGCAGATATCATAATTATGTATTAGTGAATAAAATTTAAAATCTGCTCAATAACACTGATAAGCAGAACTGTAGCATTCCTAAGCCTAAATTTACATGATGCCATACATCCAAAAGCCTAAATTTACATGACGGAAAAGAATATTTATACATTAAAAGTAAATGACTAATGTTATTTTCTATAATTATGCTATACGCATTCACAGTAAATTTAATAAAAAATTTAATGAATACAGTTAAAAACATAAAAACTGATTTTCTAGAATCATATACTCTTAAAAAGAAAATTATTCTAAGGCCAAACATGAATACGACATTTATACGTGAGAAAGATGATATACTCTTAATTAAATTTTTATATGAATAAATAACAAGTGGTATGCAAATTAAAAACTTACTTAAAAATTCTTATTGATATAACAAATTATTTATACTGCTGTCACCAACACATTTGCAATAAACTGTTCCAGAATACTAGTTCATACGAGGTGTGACACAAAAAACACGAGACTGGAGTCAATCATTGTACTTACAGAAACAGTTCTCCTTGACATTATCACCTTCAAAATAGTCCCCTTCAGCATTCATATACTTCTGCATTCAGTGTTGCCATTGCTGATAATAGTTTTGGAAGGCCCTTCAGGAGATTCTCCGTCAACTGAGGTAAAATGCAAGATTTAACTTTAGGAAATAAAAAAAAAAGTTGCATGGAGCCAAATCAGGTGAAAAGGAAGATGCCCCATCACAGTAATGCTTTTGCTAATCAGAAACACACCCTGCTTGACAGATAGGGCTGTGTAAGTGGGTGCATTGTCCTGGTGCAACAGCCATCCATCACTCCATAACTGTGGCCTGTTTTCTCTAATTTGTTCACTAAGTTTTTTTCGTACTGCAATGTAGTAATGTTGATTACAGTCTGACCACTGGGAACCCATCAATCATTACAATTCCAAAGAAGACAATCAACATTGCCTTAAATTCTGATTTTGACATGTGTGCTTTATCCCTTTTCCTGAAAACCGCTTATGCCATTGAAACACACGTGTATGAGACAAAGTTTCATCGTCATAAGCCTCAGTTAACATTTGAAATGTTTTTGTGGCTAATTTCTTAAAGTTTCACAAGAAACTTGATGTTCATTCGCTGTTCACTTTTTACATTAGACATTTTTTCCTGGCAGATTGCAGATGCACATGTTCACTCAATGACGCAGTACTCCCAACTGGTGTGATCGGTTAAGTTGAAACTGGATGCATGGATAGAGAAGGTGTGAAGGATGACATCACCATAACAGTTTTTGCCAACTCCACTCCGTTTTCAAGCTACACACTTAGTCTCGTTGTTTCTGTGTCACACCTTGTATATTATCAAATTCTCAAAATATATACAGAAAGCTATCTGCTGCTGGTATCAAAACTAATGCACTTTAAATTAAAATTGTAATAAACTGTTTTAGAACACTAATAGTAATAAACTATTTTAGGAACACTAGTTTGTATTAACAATAAAAAAATCATCAAAATATATGTAGAAAGCTATTTAAATTGTTGCAATTATTTACAGCTTGAGAAGAAAACAAAATAACAGGCATTTTCAAAATGAATTTATCTGAAATCAGAAATTACAAAATAGTATACAATGCACATAAAAGCAGCCATATATGTTACTTTGCTTGTAAAGTTAGAAGGTAAATTGTCCTATACAATAATGCAAAATTTACATTTGTAACATAATTGCTGTAATTCAAATAAATATCCATTTTATTGTCATATTTACAAACACCTAAATTTGTTCTATGGAGAAACATGCATGCAAATAAGTCTGAATTAGCTTCCATCATTACTTGCATATGAAAAAAAAAATATACAAAGAAGAATCAATTATTCCTAAAAATACATCCAATAAAATAGATAGTTTCACTTTATTGCTACATTTCTCGGTACTTTTCTGTTTGGCCGGCGCAAACGATAAAGTAGCCAATAATGGTATAACTGATACCAAACGGAATATCTTTGTTGGTAATCTTTTACGCCTCATTTTCAAAACAAGTCACAGCCATTTCTTACCAAATTGATTTTTTCTTTCAATACTGGCATACAATTATGTAGAATATTTACAAAGATAGTTAAATTTTATGCCCTAAGACCATTCACGGTAATTAAGTCAATTAGGTTGCAATCACACCACTCACCCGAAGGCAAAAATACAGAAAAGGCAAAATTAAGGGTTAAAGTCATCAATTCTAATGAGAATGCACTAGCGAAGTAAAGCATTACGGTTTTACATAATTTCTGAGTAAGCTATTCGTACGAATTGAAATAATTTTTGCATTTAAACTCGTATTCCAAATTAATATTTAACTTGAAATTAATGTAGATAATTGCTGAGAGAACTACATTTTTGTAGCGTAGTTTACGCAAGATGAGATCCCTTGGGGTCACATGATACGAACCGGCGAATCAGGATGTTGAACCATGATAGCATAGTAAATTCTTAAATTAATGACTTTTTACAAATTTATTGTCTTTATTTATTGGCTTTTTACAAAATTATAAACCAATTTAAATAGTTTATGCTTTCAAAATAAAAAATTCTTAGAACTAACATTTGTTAAATTTTTTATGCGTATACTGTATGTTGTCGCCAAGAAAGTCTGCTTGGTGAGATTTGCGCCGGTGAAACAGAAAAGTACCCATTTCTCTAAAAGCATTTTAAAACTATTCTAGAGATAAAGATCTTATTAATAACTTCTATATTATTTGATAGACTTTATTAATTTCTATATTATTTGGCATATTTAATATAAATTGATAAAATCACAGAGTCTTTAAAGAGCACAAAATGAATTAACTAATTTTAACTACTCTGAAAATAATGGTGTGATAATTAAATACTACATAAATCTTAATATCTTAAATCAAAATATAAAGCTTGCTATGAGTATTACTATATACTTGAACTTACTTTCACTGCTCGATTTTGTCTCTGTAATTCTCGACACAAGCTTTCTAATCGGGATTTGGCTAAAATCATTCTATTATGTTCAGCTTGCAATACTTCTTTCTCCCTCCGCTGGGTAGTCGCTTGTCGCTCTAACTGTTTTGCATGGGATTCGAGATTACGTAACTCTTCCAAAACTGCTACATGTTTCTTTAAAAGACACTGTAATTTTTCCTCAAGAGTCGAGCAATTTGGTAGCGATTTTAACACCTGATCTGCAAGAAAATATCTTAAACTTAGAGAAACATATAACATTATACTGGGCCATCCAAAAAGGTCTGCAGTTTCTCAAACCGATGCATGTTTTCTTCTAATTATTTTGTTATTTCAGATATGGAGTGCCCTTGATTGGCTGTCTGAATCTCGGAAGTTGATATTTACATATAATCTCTCCTGTTTAAATTGCATGATTTTTGCATGTATTGTGGCATAATTTTTGTGTATGTGTTATGCAGTACTAAAAATGGAGGACTTCATTTTTATCACATTTATTATTATTATTTTTTAATTTATAAAAGGAAAAAATGCCAGTCAGATAGCTTTTAAAACTTGTGTTGATTACAAACAAACTGCCGTTTGTGATGACAGAGTTTGAAGATGGTTTGAGAAGTTTAAGCATGGAAGTTTTAGCCTTGAAAACGATGAATGGTCGAGATAATCATCCTCTGCAATCAAGGGCTTATTAAAATAAATCCAACTTATATGGTCACGAACAAACAGCATATATATTCAAAAAAATTACAGAAAAAATTGAGAAGAAGACTGTGTATGTAAGCTGCTATGATGCGTGGGTACCCCACACTTTAGCAGAGCAGAAATAATGTGCTTGCTCAAATTCTGGTACTAGATTCGTCTTTGATGAGATTAAAAAAAAACCTCCTTTTTTGCAATGGCTCATTACTGGAAATGAAAAGAGGATGTAATATAATACAATACAATGTTTACAAGAAAATGATCAAGCGTGAGCCAAAATAATTCTTTTTTAGTAACATCAAAATGGGAGCTGCATCTGAAAAAAGTAACACTTTGTGTATGGTGCGACTAAAAAGGAATTGAATACTATGAATTAGTGCTACAAAATAAGACTTTAAATTTAGAAAAAAAAAAAAAAAAAAAACTATTTAAAATTGCATTTTTAAAAGCAGTAATCAAAGCAAAGTGCCCAGAGCTGATTAACCTTCGAGGATGGCCTTCCATCATGATAATGCTCATCCGACATTTCAATGAATGTCAGACAAAACCTCATAGAGTGTGGCTATGGTGGTTTGTATGCCACCTCCTATTCAACACACTTTTCTTCTTGAATTTTTTTCTCTCCAAGTCACTTTGAAATTCTTTGAATGGCCTGGAGTTCAATTCTTTGCAGACTGTAAAACAGCACACAAATAATTTCTTAAATACATCACATGACCTTTTTACAGGGTTCGTACACATTTCTGCACACAGAAATTAAGTACTTTTAAGGACTTTTAAGGACCATTAATGAAAAAAATTAAGGCCTATGAACAAACGGGAACTGAATAAATTCAATTGAAGATATTATGTATGCCTGAATTTCACGTTTGTAATACCATCCTAACAATAAAATAGATCCATAAGTAGTATGCATTATTACTAAACTTGAATTAATTAACATAATTGTTAATAAGTTTGAGAATAAAATAAACTATGCAATTTATCAAGTAGCATTAAATATTTTACACTTATGATAGTTGGTCATATTTGAACGTTTATAACAATTTCCTTCTCTTTTAAGCATCTTTTCTAACAATTAGAGATTTGTCTCAATATGCAAAGCAATGCTCTCACTAGTTTCTGCGTGCTTCATCTCCTAACTTGTCAACCTCTCCATAATGTACCTATGAGGGTTTAATTGATCTGGTAAAAGTTAAATAGTCCCAAACCCCCGACTGACATGAAGCATATTATCGCCATGTCTGAAATTAACTACAATATCAGACAAAGGTTTAAATGAGCTTCTTATTTAAAAAGAACTTAGAACATAAAGGCATGTTCTGATGCTAACAAAATCAATTACAGCTCAAGGTGACGTAATTAAACAACAACAGTCAAATTCAAACTAATAATGCGGACTAATGGTCAAAGATTATACAATTTAATTGTAATTTAATCTGGCTCAATAACTCTATCATATGAGGAAATAGAAATAGTAAAGGTTGAAATCATAAACAATAGGGTAATTTACATAATAATAACTGCACATATATTTGAAGAATAAGAATAATTTCCTTTATGTACTCAGTTTCTTTCTTCAACACGTTTCCTTTTCATTTTAGGAATTTTGGATTTAATTAAGGATTTGCGTTATTCTAAAAAACACTAAATGCATATAGAATGTACAGAAAAAGCGGCTAATTTTACTTCTTTAGTACTATGAACATTCAGAAGCAATATGAAATATATATAGTAAAGGACAGTTACAGAGCTGATGTGGCAGAATTTCTAGAATTTAGTGACACACCAAACAACAAAATCTAGAAATGGCAAAACTTTTAGAACTTTGAGCAAGCATTGGAAGCAGAATTTAGAAAGGCAGTAGGCAGCAGAATTTGGGATCCACAGAGATTGAATCAGGTGGGAAAATGCCTAGTGCTAGCTATGTGTATGATGCATTAAGAAATATTAGATGAATCTTTTAAATTTAAGTTTTCAATTTCTTTATTAATAAAAAAATCCCTTTCTATAATGCCTGTCCATGTGATAAGATCAGAAGCATTTTTGATATTTCCATGCTTCTGTCTAGTGAAAAGTAGAGAAAATAAAGAGAAAATAAAACATGTTAAGATTCTAGTATCAGAAGTAATACATTCAAATATTATGTTTTCATTGTTCCTCCAGATTTTCTCCCAAAATTACGAAATTCATTGCAAACTTTCTATAAAATACATTCAATACCCGTTGATACCATGGAGACATTTTTCATTTTGTCACATATTTCTCGAATCTTCTAGAATTGTGGGTCTATAAATCTTGCCTTCAAAACCTTTTAAACTTTCTAAGCTGCAATGTCTAAAATCCTAAAGAAAAATTATCCCTACCATTTCTGTAACAGAAAAAAGCTAGAAATATTTTGGAAAAAAGTAGGAGGGAAAAAGTATAAAATTAATTTTATAAAGAAAACTGATGCACATTCTGAGAATTTTGAATATTCTGAGACAATTATATGGGAAAAACTCTTACTATGAAAAAATTAAAAACAAGATTTTTAATTAATTACATAGCTAATTTTGCTTTTTGCTAAGAGCTGCTTAGTAAATTGTGCTTTAAAGCATTATACCTTGTTTATTTTTCAGATTTAAAATATTGTACAAGTTGCTAAAATGAAACTTTATAATATGACAGGGAAAAATAAAAATGTTTTATTTTAATGTTATATTTTAAGTATAATTTCAATATATTACCATTATTTTAATAGAATTTATCAATGTTACGATGTTTTAAAAAAAAATCGTCAAAAAATTCTCAGATTTTGGAATTAAAAAGTTTCTATAGAAACTAATCTTAAAATCGCCAAAATGTTGAAAAGTCAACAAATTTAGAACCGTTTAATAAAAGAATTCACATTCCCAAAAGCAAAAGTTGTTTAAGAGTTCTTTACTAGAAAAAATGAATTTCGAAATGCTTATGTTTCACTTCTTGCTTAGAAACTCGAGTACCCCATCACTTATATTAGAAATAGAAACAAATTATAACTCATGAACCCATTCAAAAGATTACCATATATACAGCAGTGAATCGCCAAAAATATTCCTCAAAATGCTAATTCACACTCAAAATGATAGTCGTAAAAACAGACAGAAATTTCTGATGATTAAAATTAAGGACCTTCTGTTGATTTGGGCCAAAATTAAGGACTTTTAAGGACCAAAAATAGATTCCAAAAAATCTAAAGACTTTTAAGGACTCTTAAGGACCGTATGAACCCCGATTTTAGAAAAGGAATTTCCTAGCTGCACAAGTGATGACAAAGGCAGAGAATAAAATGGTGCTTATGTGACTCATTGAAAATTTCTTTTTTCTTTCTTTTTTTTTTTTTTTTTAAATTGCTTCATTTGCATTTACTATAAAAAAACTGCACAATTTTTCAGTTGATTAAATTATCTTAAAACATGGAAAGTGTTATACAAGGTCATCTCTCTTAAAAAATTTGTACATACTATAATTGGGGGGGGGAACTATGCTGAAAGTGGTATATTAGAGACAAAGGGAAGAACAATTATTTTACATAATGCTAAGTCTAAATCGAACATTAAATACCAATCTAGAATAATTTATAATAATCAATATATATATATATATATATATATATATATATACTGATCAATTATTTTAATGACAATATACACTGCTATAAAAAAAGCCCAGTTATGAAATAAAGCCAATAATCAAATATAATCTAAAACTTTAACCTTTTCGTGGGCCATTTATTTCTCTTTTGAATTTCTTCCTTTTTTATGTTTTATTATCAATTAAACAATAGCATTTAAGGAAATATATTTTATTTTGCCAAATTTTTTGTTTACATTTAAATTTTAGGGGTGGGAAGTATACTTCCCACGGGACCTTTTATGGTCATAGAGAAAATTCAATTTAAAGGCGATTATTTGCCGTGAAAAGATGAGAAACATGTTGCAATGCACAAGTGTACTTCAGATACTGCACACATATAGGCGGGTTCTCTTTTCTTGTGCCTTTGTGCTACATTTCTTATATCGTCTATAGTTGGAAACCATCTTTGGCATATGATTTCCCACACTGACTAAGCATACATCATTCGGAACTGAACACCTTTCTGCTTGGAAGCTAGCAGAACGGCCTTTCTTTTTTTGAGGAATATCCGTCTATTAGTTGACGAGCTAATGCTATACAGAATGTTAGCTGGTCTAAACTTCTGTTTCTCTTGTTTCCTTGCCACAGTATAAAACTATTTACGATGCCAAGATCAATAAGAAAATAAAAAATACGATGTCACCATTCTACAGATCTTCTTCGTATTTGGTACCTTTCTTTTCTTTGATCGAAACAATCAACCCCTACCATGATATCGTTATATACAGCAACAGCTTTAGAGAAAGGTACTTCTGTTTTAGTACCATCCTTTTTGTATGATTTACAGATGTAATAATCGCTGAATTATGTGCAGTAGTCAACAATGTAACAGCCTTTTTGTCCATCCATTTTATTGCAGCAACTT